TTCTTTACATTCACGATCTTTACGAAGACGGTGTATGTTTTACGATCTCCAGAAGAAACCTGCAGGTGGCCGGCTTCTTCGCTGGTGAGGCACCATGTATTTCCCTGGAAAAGCAGGCTTTACATCTTCAGAGGGAGCCGGCTCGCTTGTTGTACCAAAGCGCTGCACGCCGCGCTGCTGGCGGGCGGGCGGGCGAGGCGGAGGGCAGCTCCCGGCCCCGCTGAGGCGCGGCGGGCAGGCGGCGGCAGCTCGGACCCTGCCAGCCCGCCTCCCACCTCCGCCGGCAGCCCTGGGGAGCACGGCTGGACGGCGCTGCCCGGCTCCCGCCGCCGCCGGCCGCTCCTCGGGCTCGGCCGGAGCCCCGACGGGGCGGCTCCGAACGGACGCAGCGGGCTTGGCCGGGCCGGGGGGAGACCCGGAGCCTTGGCGGGGCTGGTCGAGAAGGGCTCGGAAGTCTCGACCGGCGTCACCCACCGTCCTCCGCCGCTCCGGACCTCCCGGGCGGCAGCGGTGCAGATCTCCGCTGCCCCCGCGTGTCCTGCCGCCGCCGCAGGGCGCCTCGCCTGGGGCAGATCCACGCCCCCCTCCGCCCCCCCGCCCCGGCCTCTCCTCTCGACCTTGTTATTTCCCCTTGTCCCCACAAAGCCCAGGAGCCCCGAACTCGGTGTGGGGAGGCCTTCACGTGCACGGCCCGCCCGGCCCCTGGGAAGGGGTCACGGCRGGGACCCGTGATCCCCCTCACCCCGATGCTGAAGCTCCAAGGAAAGAACCCCCCGGCCTGGAAAGCGCCTGCTCCTCCCTGCCAAGCCTTCCCGAGACGAGCAGGGATCTGAGACGAGGAAAAGCATATTTATCGGATTGGCATTTTTTTTCTCTCTTAACAGCACTTCTTCCTAATGATATTTACTTAACTGCATTTGACAGCAGTTAAGAACACGTCTCCTGTAAACAGGATCTATTCTCCTTCTGCCTACAACTGCCTGTCAGCTGCAAAGCCAATCGCAGTAATAACCGCTGGATCATTTTAAATGTGGCTAAACCTACGTTGGACAAAATCAATCTGCCATTTGTTGGCTCGGAAGGAAATCACTTGCACAGTTTGACGAATTGCTTGCAATACCCTTCAGCAATTCTCAATCGCATCGCTGTGCCCCTTCCTCGCAGCCCTCCTCCTCTCTGCTCCCCGGGTTCGTTTTTTTTTTTTTTTACCCTTTCGCTTGGACTTCAGGTAATCTGAAATGGCACTGACCCTTCTCATCCTTCCGATTACCTTTCTGAAGCATGAACGTGGTATAAAATCACACATCAGAAAATTCACTATAATTATTTTGCAATGCCATCAGCACAGATCCATCAAGGAGGAAACCCAGTAGTGGAATGCTCCTCGCAGCCACATGAGCGGCCAGTCCCGTCCCGCCTGAGTGACAGCTTTGGTAATTAAGTGATTGTAGAGACCTCCCCAACTGTTCTAACAACCTTGTCAGGGCCTGTCTGCGGACAGAACAAGCTGAAATCAATGTGCTTTCTGCTCCCTGAGCATTTCTGATCATGTCCTCAGCCTGCATCGGGGAAAACATTTGACAAAAGAAAAACAGTAGCACTAAACGTTGAGATTAATTTTTTGGAACACAAAGTTTACTTTCTTCGTATTTTTTTCCTTTCTGCTTTTTTTTTTTTTTTCTTTTTTTTTTTTTTTCCTTTTAGGAAGGGAAAGGCAGAAGGCAGCGGAGAGCCTTCTCCCGGCCGGCGGGTCTGGCTGGGACGAGCGGACCATGGCCGCGCTCTCTCCGCTCTTGGCTCCGCGCTGCTCCGCTCCGTTTTGTTCCCGCTTGGAAACGTTCTGTAGCGTCTCTTGCAACGGCCCCAGTTACTCCGAGGTACAATATATTTTCGCCTGGATTAGACGGCGAGTCTGTTGGCACAGTGTAAATGTCAAGCAGCAGCTTTTAATAAAGGGATGTTCAGACTGTTAAATTTCGCAGTACAACAGGCTCGGCCCCTCCCGGCCCCCTCCTCCCCCATCCCCCGAGCCGCGGTGCTGCCAGTGAGCCAGCACGACTGCGCACCAAAATTCGAGTAGGAAGTAACTCATCCCGGGGCCGAAATGCTGCGCCGTGCCATCCTCGACATGTTTGGCGGAGGGACCCCCGGAGCCCCGCACCCCGCTCTTCGGGGTCCCCCCTCCCTGGGGCGCGGGTTTCTCGTTGATGGCCAAGGTGGAAGTTGCTGGGCTCTGGTACCCAGAGCTTGGAGCGGGTCCGTGGCGCCTCGGCCGGGACCGCCCCCCAGGCAAGGACCGGCTGTCGAACCSGCACATGATACCCTGCCGCTCGCTGCTCCCAGCCTCCATCGGCCATTGATTAGCGCTCTAAGTGCCGCTCTAATTAGCTGCCTGCTAATTAACGAGAGGGGCCCTGTCCGACTCCTCTGAGTGGCACCTCCGCTCATCGCTTTGATTCGGCTGTTGCTGATTTATCGGAGAGGGAGCTCCGTGGCTTTGCCCGCAGTCAGACGGGTGGGATAGATGGGAAAGGGGGGGGTACCCAGCCAGGGGCTTAGGGGACACGGGGCAGCAGCTGTCATGATCCACCCCCGGCCTCAACAAGTACAAGGGGCATCCCAATGATCACCTCGCCCGCAGAGGGTGCCAGCAGGAGGTGGAAGGCCCTTTTGCGTGAGATGCCCCCGCGTAGGGCTGATCAGAGCTCTGGGAATCCTAACGGGCCGACGGTGACCACGGAGGTGCCGAGGCTGCGGGAATTCCGGGCTCACCGGAGCCCGGCCGGGAACAGAGCGGCTGCCCCGGCCAGGGCGGGCCGCCGCTTTCCCCTAAATATTTCTGCACAATGGAGTCGAGGATTAAAAAATAAGAGGAAGGAAATGAAAGGTGTTCACTCTTCAGGAACATGACTTTAAGCCCTAAATCCCGATTCCGGGACGGGGAAGTGTATTGTGAGTTAAAGGATTATGCTAGTGTAACATATTACCTCGGATCCCACATTCCCCCAGGGATAATTAGGACATAGTTTTGGTAAATTGCAAACCAAGACAGCAAGATAAACACGGGAGCAGCGGGCTTCTTCCCTGCTGCAGAAAATCTGCCTACGCACTTGCAGATATTTAAATATTTTTTCGTTTCTCCGGTTCCTTCTGTTTACTCCTCAGTTTCCCCTCTTCTTCTGTCCGCTTTTTTTCTCCTTGTTCCTTCAAATGCCCCGATGGGTAGGAACGTGCTGAYGGGAGGTCACCCCACCGTGCTGCCAGCCCTGCTCGCCCCGGATAACGTGGGCTGCGGCGTCCACGTTACCTCCGGCCCCGTCCGCRCTGGGCGCCCGTCGGGGACAACGGGGGCGGCCGCCACCGCCGCCCAGCGGACACGGGCGGCCCTGCGCCTCTTTCGGGCCCGCCGCCTCTGCTCCCTCCGGGCGCCGCACCGGTGCTTAAAGCCCGGCGGCAAACCGTACAACTGGCTGCCCCGGCTGCCCGTGAGGCGGCGGATGGCGATAGGTGTCCGTGGGGATGGAGCGGGAGATGCTTGATAGCAACGGCCTACCCGTGGGCAGGCTTTCCTGACGTCCAAAAATCATCTCCGAAGTGCGGCAGTGAGGGTGGAACCTGCCCCCGCCGTGGTACCCAGAGAGCACCGGTGATCTTCGGGTAMGGCACCGGTGACCGGTGAATCCCAGGGAAGTACCTCGATTTTTACCAGCGATGACACAGAAACTCCTCTCCCCGCTGCTCACGAGAGGAGGCCGGCCCCATGCCGTCGGAAGCGGAGCCGCAGGCCGCGGCACTCTGCGCATCGGCATCTCTCAGGACGAGGCGCAGTTTGTCATCCCGCGCCGCTGTCCCGGGGCTGCGGCGTCTCACGTCGGGTCCAACCGTCCGCAACGAGGCTGAACATGGTCCCCCACGCCCTTTGTGCTTCCCGTGCGCTCCCCTCGCCCTTCCGCACCTCTGAGCAGGACAGTTTACCCAGAAAACAAAACGCGGTGGAAAGCGTGGTGGAAAGCTCCTGCCATTACACCAGGACAGGAGCACTGTCCAGAGACAGACGGGGCACTCCCGCTTATGGGGCAGGCAGGACGATGAGACGGTTTAGAAAGGACCTTCGTGTCCTCCGTCCCCGCTCGTTGCTAGAGACTGACGGTGGGTTCCCATCACCGGGGCAGCCGTCGTGTGTGGAGCGGGGATGTCAGCGGCCCCACACCTAAGGCAGTACCCATTGCAGTCACTGAACACCAGCCCCGCTAAAATCCCTCTTGCGCTCATGCTGTCCTAATCCTTCCCTGCGCCCCCACTGCTGTGCCCCGTCCCCCTGTGCCCCYGTGGTCACCGGTCGCTGATGGTGCTTTTGGGGCTGGTCGGATCTAGAGGCTACTGCAGGCCGGGAGGGGGGAATATCGGACTGCGCTTCATAGGACCCTGGAAATTGTAATTACTACTAAAATAAAACTCAGAGAACTCTAAATCATTCATTATCACCTTTATAATTACTCTTCTAATTAGTTTGACGCGCTGCTTCATCAGGATTAATACGTCGCCTTGTCGCAGGCACTTCCCATTATTCTGATATTCAGCCGGGGAACCGTCCCGGGAACACGGGATGATACTCTCCGGGGGATGCGATCCGGCGGCCGGGGAATCAAGGCCCGACGGGGCGGCGGCGGGGATGGGGATGGGGACGGGCCCGGGAGGGAACGGGGGCGCGCCCCCCCCGCGTCCGTGCCCGCCGCCGCCGCCGATTGGCTGCCGCCCGCGCTGCGTCAGCCCCCTCTCGGCCCTCCGCCAATGGGGGCGGGCGGCGGCGGCGGCAAAAGCCCGGGTTTAGAATAAACGGCGGGGGGGCCGCGGCGGCTGTGACGTCACGGGGGGAGTCGCCGCCGCCGAGAGGAGCTCGGTGGGCACGGGCGGGCGCGCCGCAGTGGCCGGTGTCCGCCCCGCTCCGCTCCGCGCCCGCAACTTCCCGCAACAAAGTTGGTGAGCGGCGAACCGGCCCGGCGGCGATGTGGGGCTCGGCGGGAGCCCCGAGTTAGTGTCGACCGCGCCGCCGGTGCGCGGGTCGGGGTAACCCGGTTCCGCCCCTCCCATCCCTTCTCCTCCACCCCCGGTGAGAGACCCCCGCGGCCGCCCACGGGGATGCGGACGCGGCGCTGAGCGGTCCGCCATGGAGGGGCCGAGCGGGTCCAGCTTCGGGATAGATACGATCCTGTCGGGTGGCAGCACCGGCAGCCCCGGAGTCATGAACGGAGATTTTCGCCCCCACGGCGACGGCCGGCCGGCGGATTTTAGGAGCCAGGCCACGCCGTCCCCCTGCTCGGAAATCGACACGGTGGGGACGGCGCCCTCATCGCCCATCTCGGTGAGCATGGAGCACCCCGAGCAGCACCTGGGGGTGGCGGAAAGCCTCCCGCCGCCGCCGCACCACCTCCACCTCGGCCCGCACCCGCCGCCGCCGCCGCCGAGTTTGCAGCCGTCGCCCCCGCAGCCACCGCCGCCCCAGCTGGGCTCGGCCAGCTCTGGCCCCAGGACTTCCACCTCTTCTTTTTTAATTAAGGACATTTTGGGCGACAGCAAACCGCTAGCGGCGTGTGCACCTTACAGTACCAGCGTTCCCTCTCCCCATCACACTCCCAAGCAGGAGGGCAGCGCGGCCCCGGAGAGCTTCAGGCCCAAACTCGAGCAGGAGGACGGCAAAGCCAAGCTCGATAAGCGCGACGACACGCAGGGGGACATCAAATGCCACGGTGAGTACGGCACGGCCCGACTCCGCACCGGCGCGGCCGCCGGTGTAACCGGGGCCACGGTGCTCGGCCGCACTGGTGAAAAGAAAATCGGGGAGAAAACCTGCGGTGGGAGCTCTCGCTCTGCCGGGGCCGCTCAGTGATGCTCGCTACCGCGGGGATAAGGTCGGTAGGAAATTAAATTAAATCAAATCAAATCGAGTTGCTG